AATGATTCTTCTAGAAGCTACAACTAAATGTAACATTTCTTTTTATTTCTTCTTTTTCTTCCTCCTTTTGGAAAATTTCTGTTTAAATACTATTTTGGTTCTTATACTCTCGACTTTGATTCATTTTGGTATCTATATTTTTAAAATATTTATTTTAATCTATATACTTAAAAAAAGTGATCATTTTTGTCCTTTCATTTTTAATTTATTTTTTCTTACTTCTTTTGATCATAATTTTAACATGACACTACTCACTAAATTTCTTAAAATGTAACCACAAACTTGTGTTAAAGAGTTTCCAATGTATATAAAATTTGTGTTAGAATTATGAAGATAAAACACTAAATTTGTCATATTTTAAAAGTATATTGATCAAAATAGATATTTTGAAAGTACAAAAACTAGAATGAACAAAAGTTGAAGGTACACAGAAACTAAAATGAATGTTTTAAAATTATTGGAACCAAAAACTAAAATTACACGGAAACAAAAATTCAAAAGTACATGACTAAAATACCAAATTTGACGATCCTTCGTTTTGGGTTTGGATAATCACTTAGACAAACCTGAAATCGTTTACTTTCAACTCCAATCATCATATTTTGTATTTGTAAATTAGGAAATTTAATATTGCTTGGGTTTAGGTTTATACATTCATTCCAATCTTATGATTTTAACTTAAATTGTATGATAAAAATTTTGAAAAAAAAATAGTAGAAGATATTTTGTAAAATTATTATTTTTTTAGTATATCACGGGATTGTGGAAATTATTTTGATCACATAAACATAGTTTATATAAAGAAAATAAAGACGATCACACATGTTATTTAAAAGTAAGAATAACATTTTCTGAAACATCTTCATCACACCAGATGGTGTCTAATAACATTATTAGATTCGAAAACAAGTAAGTTTTTAGAAATCCAAAAGAAAGAAGGAAAAAAAAAACTAAAATAACCCACCAAAGAGATAAGATTTAAACCTAATTTTTCCTTTTTGGAAAGGATTTAGACCTAATTTATGATACATGGAATGCAATTATAAAACATGAGGAAAGTACAATATGAAAGAACAATTCATTTGACCTCAAAAATTAATTTTGTTTGGAGACTGAACCTATCAGAAAAAAAAGGCTGCTCCAATTCCACCCAAATAATTAATCACACTACTCAAGAAACACCATTACAACACACACAGCCTATGGCTGTGTGCTTCCAAATCCCAAGAACTCTTAAGATTTTTTCTTTTCTTTTTTCTTTTTTGGTGAAAAAAAGCTCATTGGCTATATTTTTTTTTTAATCCCCACTTAAAGGGTTAAAAGGAAAAGATCAATAAATATTTAGCTGAAATTTTGGGAACATTTATAACACAAACTTAAATAAGCTTTGATAAAAATTTCTATTTCTTGTGTCTCGTTCTATGGTCTGAACAAGGCGTACATACGTCTTAGTATTGTTGTTTTCTGATGTTGAAGGGATTCTGTAGTAAAATTATATAGTTGAGCCTTCGATGTAGGTTAAATTGGTCCAAATACTTACAAATATATTTTAAAACATTCCGATTTTACCTAAATTTTTTGAGTGTACATTTCATTTTTTGATTATGGTATCTAGTTCCATTTTTCGGTTATTTTATTCTCAATGGTCAAAAATTTGATTAACCTCTTTTCATTGCTTCTTAATGATCTATGGATTCTACTTTTTACAAATACTTGAATTCTTATTTTAGTCTATCAATATTATAGTTGTTGTGGCTTATAAATTATTTACCCAAAAAATTGAATCTATTTTGAAAATTAAAATTTGATCTATTACATGTGCTTTCAAATACTTCTATGCAATAAATGTCTCCTAATTCAACTAACATAAGCATAGTTCAATTGATTAAGACATCTATTATTCGACTAAAAGATCGCAAGTTTGAATCTCCATCCTCACATGTTGTACTTAAAAAATATCTTATAATCATATAAAATTAACAAAAAAAAAACATGCCTATAATATATTTCCCTTAAATACTTTATATAAAATATATATCATGAATGATAACAATTTTTAACGTAAATTTTAGAGATAATTTAGATACAGTGTATTTGAAAGTTTGGAGACTACTTTATTTTTCTACTATGTCTCAAAATAATTGTTAGTTAGATAAGTTTAGAGATTGATTTTCAAAATGGGTCTCGTATGGTTCGTTACTCACATATTTTCAAAACTAAACATTAAATCATACAATTTCAGTTTGTGAGTTAAAAAATAAAGTGATACCATATTTTCAAAACTAATTTTGAAATAATAAAAATTGAAAATTATTTTGAAACAATTTCTAAATAAATATTTGAAATTTTTGCTTATAACTCTCCTATTAATTAATTTTATTATTTCCATCCAATTTTTTTTCTAAAATAATATATAATAAGAAAGAGAAATTAAGAGTTTGTTGGATAACATTCATGATTTTTTTTTTCATATTTCTCCTTTCTAGTTTTTAAGAAACAAAAATATATATATTGGAGAAACACAAACATTTAATAACTATTTTCAATTGTCTGTTTCGCATTCTTAATAAGCTTTCTAATAATTGTGCATAAATTTTATAAACAACAAAATCAAGTTTTTGTTTTTGGTTCTTATTTCCAAATACTATGACGTAAATAAAAAAAATTATTCTATCATTCTTAACTTATAAAATGCATGCTAAATATGTTTAGAAATAAATACAATGTAAAATTTTTTAATATTCGATTTTAAAAATTAATTTTCATACAAAAGATTTTCTTTTTCTAATTTAAAATTTTAGAGTAGGAAAAACAATAAAATGTTATCAAACATTTTTTTAAAAGACAAGAAATAATAAATAATTATAATATAGTTCTATTTTTATATATTAAAAAATAAAAAACGAGAACGATAAAACAACGTTGCCAAATATGTTTGAAATTATAAAAAGAAACTAATAATATTCCTATCACCAAACACATATATGATCAATCATAGTTAAAAAAGAAAAAGAACATACACTTAATATTTTCACAACAAAACAAAACCATCATTATTCCTCTACATCACTATCACATCTTTATGAATCATATGCTATAAATTCAATTCAATTGTATCAATCACCAAAAATAATATGCCCTAAAACCTTATTATATAACAACCACACTCAAAAAAGAAATGGCTACACTCAATACCCATACATACTATGCAATATATATCATACAAAAATGTGAAGAGATTATTTTTCTCAATCTCCAACACAATCAAAAACTTTTAATGCTGCAGCTCAAGATTCCCAATCTGATATATATATATATATATATATATATATATTAATTTTTGAATGGTACAAACAAATATCTGATGGGGTTGGAAAAATCACCCAATCAAAATGAATGCTTTTGACTTTTGTTTCTATGTATGGACAACATTGTTACTATCCCCACTCTACCTGTTCTCTCCCTTAGCCTTTTATTTATTTTTGTACTCGTACTCTCATTCCCCTACTACCCCCTCCCCCACCTAACCCCATGGCTCAAAATCACCCTTTTCGATCTCGTTCGGTCTCTCATTAGTTCGATTTTGAATTTGGGATTTCCTTTTTCTCTCTTTCTACGTTCAACGATGGATCGAAAGCAACATCAAAAACTTCGAAATAGGTCTGATTCTGTTAGATTGGATAAACAGTGAAAAGGACAACACAAAGTTCGAGGAGAGATGCGTTTTTTGAATTTGATATGTTTTGATGATTCAAAAAGTCAATCAATAAATTCGTGGAACTACCCTCTGGATATATCTATGAACTTGTATTTTTAAGAAAAGACACTATAGAAATCAAAACAAGTTACAAACTTTATTATCCAATCAATCCAAGCAGAGCACAATGGTTAAACACACATATACATATCTCCCTTGAGGTCAAATGTTCAACCCTGAAAATCCAGATATATTGACATGTCAACAGATAACTCAAACGTTAAATGGAACAATACGAAAACGAACCGAGAGTCATTGGTTTCGGGATCGAGACAGGTCAAAGTAAATGGGTTTGGTTTTAAAAAGTCATCTAGCAAGGCTAGTTTAGAGAGAGGAGAGAGAGAAAATTTAAAAAAAAAAAAGTTTTCAGAGAAGCATTGATAAGATGGTCCCTAAAGTAGTTATAGCCTTGGGGTGTCAACTTCAGTTACCAGTAATGGGCTGGACAGCTTGAGGACGGTTGGGAGTACAGTAACTAGTTCACCATAATAGTTTCTACATTTCTGCCCTTTCCACTTCTTCATTTCTTGGGCTTCTCAAAAGCCCACTTACCATTTTTTTTCCACCAAAAAGTATAATACAAAGTTTAGAGACGTAATTGAAACTTTTTAAAGTTTAGACACGAAATATATTTATGTGGTTGCTACCAGAGCATAGTCGAGCGGGTTAAAGTATATGTATATAACTATGAAGTTGATAGTTCGAATTCTATCCCCACATGTTGTACTAAAAAAAGATTTATAAGGTTAGATTACAAATTTAGTCGTTTATCTTTTAAGATGGCAACTTGAAAGTTCATGAACTAAATTTGTAAACTTTAATTTATTGTTGAACATATTTATTAACCTACCAACAAACATAGTACAATTAGTAAAAATATTTATGAGTTTTAGTAAAGATTGGAGATTTGAACTTAAACGAGAAAAGAGCTCATTAAACATCTTAATAATTGTTTTCTTTCTTTTGGTCGATAAGAGATCAAACTTTTGATCTTAAAGAAAGCAATGGGTGTCTAATTTACTCGCCATGCTGACAAGTATTTGATTAGTGCTTGTACAACGGACAAAATAAGGTTTTTATTAGGAAGAAATGAAAGAGAACTGTGGCCTTGGCCTTGGTTGGTTTAGTACAGTAAAACTGTTGGGGGATTGACATCTTGGGTTCTTCCATTCTAAATGCCTCTTTTCTTATTTTTAATTGACAAAATTCTAATTGCCTGTTTTGAGAAAAAAGAAAAGAAATAAAAATGTAAACTTGTTAAAAGAGGTTCCGTCCATGTTCTTGTTGCATAATAATAATTTTAATTCCGATGGTTTCTTTTTGGTGATACCCAGTTGGTGAAGAGAAGAGAAGAGACGAATTTTATTCCTTAATCCCACATTTTTCTTTTTGGTTTTGGTTTTGTTTTTCCATTGGAAATCGCTCGCTTTTTCTCTCCGTATGCGTGTTGGTTTCTGGGTGTGTTATAGTTCTCCAAAGTTCCCAACACAGACAGCGCAAAATCCAACTCTTTTGCACAACCCCAGCATAGGGCTTCGTTCCCCCACTCCCTCTTCTTTCTCTCGCTCTTTTGTTGGATCTGACTAACGAACCCATAAGTTTTTTCTCAGTTCCATTCTCTTCCCGTGTCCGATCCCCTTAAATTTCTCCCTTTCCCTCTTCCCCCACTGCTCTCTCTGTCCTGAAACTTATTGGGGGAAGACCCATTAACTTGGGATTCAGGGGGGGCGGCATTTGGGGGAACCCCATCTCTGATCCGATCGTTTTTGGGGCATTTTCCATTGAGATGGCAATGCCCATTGAAGGATGAGCAAATCCGGGGACGAAGACGACGAAGAAGAGTGTTTCTACGAGTCCCTTGATCGCATTGCCTCCTCATGTTCCTGTTCCACTTCCAATTCCGATGACGACAGAGATTCCAACGCCAACTCCCCTAATTATGATTCGGAGCACCCGTTTCCGATTCCCAAATTCCCAATGGCCGTTTCCAACTATGATATTTGGATCTCGGAGCCGGCCTCTGTGTTGGAGCGACGGAGTCGTCTTCTCCGAGAAATGGGTCTCAGCGGCGACCCATCTCTCTCCCGGGCTAATACGGCGTCGCAATTGGATCACACGGAAAAGGGTGTCGGGGATTTCGGTCGATCGGCGTCGTCGGACTACTTGAGTCGTCAACAACAGCCGCCGCCGCCCCCTGCCATCATCCGCTCGAAATCGGATGGTTCGGCAGATTGCAGCAGGAACAAGAGCTCTTCACAGGCTTCCGGCAGTGATATTGGTGATAATCAGTGTAATTATTCGTCGTCCATTAATTCTCCTTCAATTCTTTCATTTCATTCGGTCAATGAGACCTCCACTTCATTTGAAAATAACCGTAATCATGTAGTTGTTAAGTCGCGAAGCTGCAAGAGCGAGGGCGCTCCATCGGTTGCTTATACTGTTTCACAGCATAAGCCGCCTTCTGGGAAAAACTGTAGATTTGCGGATGAGATTCGAAGCGATTCCTTGGTTTTGAATGCCAATTCTGATCCTAATCCATCGTCAATGTATCAGAATGCCGACAGTAGACGAGTGCTTAGAGAGGACTCGGCATGTTCTACTAGTGGCAAGGTCAATGAGAAAGCCTGCACTATCAAAGATCTTGACAATGGGAAAGAGTTCGTTGTGAACGAGATTAGTGCAGATGGTATGTGGAACAAGCTCAAGGAAGTGGGCACTGGGAGGCAGTTGACCATGGAGGAGTTTGAGATGTGTGTTGGGCATTCACCCATTGTTCAAGAACTGATGCGGCGGCAGAATGTGGAGGACGGTTGCAACGAGAACATCAATTTAAATGTGAATGGGGTTATCGGTAGCAGTTCGAAAATGAAAAAGAAAGGAGGTTGGTTTAAGAGTATAAAGAGCACGGTGAAGGGCCAAAAGGAGAGACGGAGCAGTGATGAGAGGGATACTTCATCTGAGAAGGGTGGACGGAGGTCAAGCTCTGCAACAGATGATAGCCAAGATGTTTCCTTTCATGGACCAGAGAGAGTAAGAGTTAGGCAGTATGGAAAATCAACTAAAGAATTTTCTGCACTCTACAAGAGCCAAGAGATACAGGCCCACAGTGGGTCAATATGGACAATTAAGTTTAGTTTGGATGGAAAGTACCTTGCAAGCGCTGGAGAGGATCGTGTAATTCACGTTTGGCAGGTAGTTGAGTCGGAGAGAAAGGGGGATCTACTGATGGAGAAACCAGAAGAAGGGAATTTGAGTTTCTTATTTGCAGCTAATGAGTCGCCAGAGCCCACTTCATTATCTCCAAATGTGGATAGCCATCATGAGAAGAAGAGAAGAGGGAGATCTTCTCTAAGCCGGAAATCAGTCAGCTTGGAACATATCATGGTGCCGGAGACTGTATTTGGGCTTTCAGAAAAACCAATCTGTTCATTCCAGGGGCATCTTAATGATGTGCTTGACCTTTCTTGGTCCAAATCACAGGTTAGTTTGTACTTGAATTTCTGTTGATGCATTTTTTGTATTCTGGTGGTATCGATATTTTGGATGCTATATGTGCCCCTCTTTTGGTACTCATCTTCAAATTAGTGATTTCTTAGATCCACAATATGAAATATTTTCTGGACATATTGACAGAAAAATATGAAGTAGAAGGCAGTAGCTTATATAATTCTGCATTGTAAAATATTGGAGATTCCTTGTCATGCTGTTTATCATCAACCAGCTATTTAATAGGAAAACTTTTACGCAGTACTATTGTTGTAGAAACTCGTTAAAATGAAGTAGGATGTGAGGGAATGATTTCATCTGTTCATATCTGAAAAATGATATATAGAGATCTCACCAGGTTATAACTTCTGAAAGTGACTTCCACTTCCAATATTTAGAGCTAAATATGTGAAACTTGAAAGTAAATAATTTATGATATTATGTGGACATGCTGATTCTTGTGGATATTAAATTATATTTAAGGTTTAAACGCTATATTTATTAGAGAAGGAAGTCAACTTAGATTTAGTACTTATTTTGACTACTCCAGGTGATAACTGAAGCCTCTGGGCTGGGGCATTTACTTAGTATCAGTGCCCAGAATGGTGGAATGGTATTCTCAATATGGTATCTCAATAGATGAGATTCTTACTTCAAATATTTGCGTCATTCATCCTCATTTTTTAAATTTACAGTTTCCATATTGGGCCCTGTTGGTCAATTTTGAAGCCAGAGCTCGTTTGGAAGAGGGAGATTGGGAATTAATTTGAATTAATAAATTACCGTTAACCTAACAACTTGAGCTTCTGGGATTCGTATATTATATGAATGATTATAACTAGATGTGACAACCAATTGTGTCAATGTACAAAGGATGTGGATAAGCCGGTGAGTTTGTTGGATCTAAGAAAGATATTGAAAATGACAACATGGTAAATAAGGGATTGGCATTTTTAACTATGCTGCTTTATTTGTAGTAGTAGCTAATATTGTTTAATACTTCAACTTTTCTCATGTGTAAAAGGGGACAATATTCACTAGATGGAAATTTGACAACCTTTTCACATTTATTTTTTTCTACTTTCTCATATTTACTTGACTTTATGGAAGAGTAATATGTTTCTTGAACTCAGAAACATTGCGGCTGCTTGGAAGCTAATATGA